TGATTTTGTTATTTTTTAATTGATTTTGTTATTATTGGACTTTTTACCGGAAATATTAAAAAATATTAATGTTTTAAGTTGAAATAATAATATTTTAAATATTTTTTTTATTGATTTTATTAAAAAAATAATAATAAAACTGATAATATATTTATTTAACCGTATATTAAGATTACCACTCGGTATAACTCCCCCATTTTAGATGTTTCTTTAATTACATCGAAATTTTCTTACCCAAAATCTAAGATACGGTCGGCAATCAAAATTTCAAACTTAGTTGTCGTATTGCTGACAACAAAACAATCAAGTTGAAATATGTGTACCAAAATTTCAATACATGTACACGTATTGTATGAATAATGACATGTTAAACACAGCGTTATTAAATTTAAAAAAAATGATTTTAGAAATATTTTACGCATTTGTTAAATAGTTTAAAGTTATTATACGTAGGGATGAGCATAGATTGAATTTTTAGTCAGTTTGACTCGATTTAAAAAATATATCCCTTATATTTGAAACCCAACCTGATATGATTTTATTGTGATTTTACTGGACTGTAATCCGACCCATTTTTAGTTAAAATTCGAACCTGATCCAAAGATATATTTATAACAATTATTATTTTTATTCAATAACAATAATAACTTAATTGAAAAAATAATATATAAAGGGCTATTATTATAATTTTTCATGAATATATAAGGTAAAATTACATTATTTTTTGGGTAGGGTCGGGTCAAATATTTTTCATCTTAAATCTTAACCCGACCCAAACATATCTCAAAAAACCCAACCCGACTCTACTCGAATTCTATTTTTTATTAAAAACTGACTCAATGGAGTTAGGTCGGAACTCATTAGACTCAAATCTCGTGCCTAACCGTATTTACAATGTAATATCTACTCATATTTTTTTCTTAACTATAAATATACTCTACATACAGAATTACTAAATTCAAAATTCTTTAAGAGAACAAACTCTCTTTTATACCTGTTTGAATGTATAATCCTTAAACATGCGACTTCATTTGTCTTTTATTATATGATAGTTGATTGCTTCACAAAGTCAAAGGAGCAAGAAGCATCAAAGACGGAATATGCTAACTTCATTTACTTTGAAAGTAACTTGTTTGATATATTCACTTTCTTAGCTTTAACAGTTGGAACTAAAAAGGAAGAAAGAAAAGAACTAGGCTGAGCTTGACATCTCTGACTTGTAAAACAAATGAACTAAGCAGTAGGCTGAGCTCACATCTCTGATTATGACTCGGCTGACGGAGCAATAAGACAAGGTCCAACAACTCCTTTGAAAATGGCTCCTACAGTCAAGTCCCACAGCTGCTTAGTGGGTTAACCAACTCAGATGCCTTGATTGTGACTTGGTTCAATCAAATTTAACCATTTCTTTTCCTCCCAAAACCAATCATCATCGTCGCTGCTTATTTGTTAGATTTCAAAGCTTTTAATCATTGCTTTACAACTGCTTCATGTTATGCAACACATATGTCATCATTTTCAATCTAGTTTCCTAGCTGTTTCTGTCTGAAAATTACAACGGCAATCGTTCAAGAATAGTTGTCAAGTAGAAGAAACTTGGGCAAAAACATCGGAATACAGTTCTTCTACTCCTCAATGCCTCTCTTTGTGCCACTTTAAAAAAAATTCTAACACGTGTATTATTAAGTTTTAACTCAATGCCACCGTTAAGCTATAATACAAAAGGAACCAAGAATTTGTTGCTTGATTGTCTTCACATCTAATACTTTCGAAATATGCAAATTGTTAAAACAATAATTAGATATCGACCGTCATCAAGAATGAAACCTACCTTAGTATAATTTGGTAAATCAGAGTCCAAATGTTGAATGCATTGCCTTCAAATACTAAAACTAAGAATGTGAAGCATAACGACGAGCTTAGACTTCAACCATGGCTGGTTCAGAAATAAAAGGGATTCGAAAAGTTCCTGTTGCCATCCTTTTGATTCCTTGGGAGTGTTTTAAGATTAAGCTTCTTCTTTTCTCTCCTATTGCTATTTCCATTATTCTATTACTAACGTGTTTATACATCAACGTTCTTTTAAACAGATAATTGCATAAGATCATTGAACTACTCTGAGCCATCGTCGTTGGCTTATTCTCTGGTTTTAATCTTGACATAGGATTTTGTTAGCCGGAGCAACAATCCGAGACAAAACTTGAAAGAAGAAATTAAATTCTTTAAAAAATAAGAAAAATAAAAAGGAAAATAAAATATTCTTTTTATTTTTGATATTGTGATCAAAATCAGCTAAGACCTGTCCCTACACAGTTTCTTTAAGATAGTTTTCGGCCACTCCTCGGTGCTCGAGACATTTGGTCGTTTGTCTTTCAAGATACAACAACTAATGATCAACTACAATAACATAACAATACGAATTAACATTACCTTCGACTATCACCGAAAAAACTAAAGAGCAAGAGTACTTTCTAAGGACGAAAAATATTTTTGAAGAGAAGAAAATTTCTTGAATTCTAAGATGTGAAAACCTAACGAGTTTGCTCCCTATTTATAGGGGATTTTCAAGAGAGTTTTACTCCAACCAAAATCTTTTAATATTAAATTTAAACAGATAATAATATCTTTAGTTTTCACATACAATCCTTAGTTTTCAAGAGAGTTTGCTCCCTATTTTAAATTTAAAATATTAAATATATATACAATCCTTTTATTATTCAAACTTAAACAAATATTATTTTAATTTAAAATATTCAAAAGTATATAATTATCTTTAACATTCAAAGTTGAAAAAGATAATAAATACATTTTTAAATCGATACATTCAAAGAGTAATTATCCTACTAATATTTAAATTAAATAACATCTTTTAATTTTCAATATTTAAAAGGACTACAAATTTAATACAAATATTACGAATTTAATATGCATATTAAATCCTTATTTCCAACAGATAAATATATAAACATCATCACAACATAGAGGCATTAAAGAGTAATTATCCTTATTTTATAGAGACATTAAATCCTTATTCAGAAAATGATTGGAGGGCACAAACAGAGACATTGAAAAGGGGCAAGAGAATTGTATTCAAAACATCGGGAGACTGTCCTTGTACACATATAAACATCATCACAACATAGGATTTGGCAAGAAGATCCCGAATCATATGCAAAATCAAAGACACTAGATTCGTAGGATCTAAAGGGTCACGTACAATCATCGAGCCCCTTATTGTTAATGGGCCAAGTTGCAAGTTCGGGCTTTCTAATCAGCCCTATAAGAGCCTCAAGCTACAATGGTTAATTCAGATATCAATCAAACTGAATTTTTATGAATTAAATTAATCGATTTTTTTCTTTAACAGTTAATCAAACTGATTTTTTTTTTATAAAAATATTAACAAAACCAAACAAAGTGCGATTAATCCTTCTGCTGTTTTTAATTATATTGCTTTGATTTTAAGGTAATATTTTTTTATTTGAGTTAAAATTTAATAAGGTATTAATAGTTTTGAATCCATATCCCCAACACTAATCCTAGTTTGAAGTGTAAAATTGACCACTTTTGAGGAACCCCATCTTCTTCACGAGGTTTGCCCTCCATGATTAAACCACTTTGAGCTGGCTTCCCCCCTTGGACCACTGCACGTGAAAATTCTTGTTCTATATATGCCAAATCGAAATTTGACTTCAAAACAAAACAAAGGGAGGACGAGAAAGAAGGTCAAGGTTTTAGGGTCTCCATGATGATGTTTAGAGATGGCCGACGATGATAATCGGTGGTGACCGATAATAATGATGTGTGATGGTTTACGACGAAAATTTTGATTGAATTTAAAGATTAAATTTATGTTTTATCTAAAGTTTATAAATTAGATTAATATTCTATCTAAAATTTAAGACTAAACTAATATTTTATCTATAATCCAGTGATCAAATTAAAATTTAAGTATTTTTATTAACGTGACATGTCAATAAATTAACTAGAGTTAATGACTCAATAACTAAGTGATTAAAATTTTAAATTTTTAAAACAATAGAAAAAAAAAAACAAAAGAGACTATTTTGTCTGTTTCCAGATTTCAATTTATTAAAATACAAAAGGGGAATATAGAGAAGAAATAATGGTAAAATTTTTATTTTTAGGATCTATAATATTTATTATAATGTTTTAGAATTCGTCACGAAGACATAATATATTTTAATAATATATATATATATATATATATATTAAAATTTATCATATTTCCATGATAAGTTTTAATAAAAGAATATATTTTATTAGAATTTACTGTGTATTTGTGTAATAAATTTCAAAGTACTATAATACATACCATAAATTTTAAAATATATTTAAAGATATTCTATTTCACTAATTAATTATTCCACCCACATTATTTGCCTAATTTCGCCGAAGAATTACTGTGTTTAGTGTGAAACATGTAGAGTAGGCAAGTTACACAGTACGACAGATTTAAAAACGGTTAAAATAAAATGTTATCGGTTTTGTTATCGTTTAAATAATAAAATCGATAAAAATTATTTAAATTTTTTCGATAATTACCTAAAATATTATGTTAATTCGGTCATTTTTTAAGCCTAATAATATTTTCGGTATTTTTTTTGAAAATCTGATAAAAAACACCCAATAATAACAAAATTATTAACGCCTAATAATATTTTCGATAATTTTTATCGATTTTATTATTTAACACAACAACAAAACCGATAACATTTTATTTCAACCGTTTTTTTTATGCCGCACCGGAACTATCCCCATGTAGAGTATGCATTGCAGGGTAAAATCGAAAGGAGCCAAGGCTGTCCGTACGTTTACTGCACGTGATCCGCCCCCAGTAATCTACCGTTAGTAATTTTTTTAACCGCCTTAAACGAAACTATCCGAAAGCTAATCCAACGGCGGAGAAATCTTCCATCTTAGGGTTTCATTCCAAAAACAGAACACGTCACGCCTTCCAATTTATATGTACCCTTTCTTTCTCGGTGTTTATTGTGGTAGCTGCTACTACTTCAAGAACCTATCTTTTTCTTTTATCAACTTATTTTTTCACGCGCCACCGCCTCCACTCAGTCGGCGGTAAATACCCATTTCTTCTTCCTTCTCTTCCCTCTCCTCTGCTCCTCTCCATTTAAAAAAAAACCCCAAAAAAAGAGAAATCTGTACAAAAGAAAAAGTAAAGTTTGGCTCTTTAGCAAGGCTTATTGAAGCACTTGGGATTTTAGTTTGTTTCATTTGTTGTCTCTCTAGGTTTTATTGATTAATAACAGGAGGAGAGGGAAGAAAAATCCCAAAAAGAAAAAAAAAGAACATCTTAAAAAAAAGCTTTTTTTCCCGGTGTGTTTAGCTGTGTTTTCTAGGGAGATGGCGCAAGTTCAAGTTCAGGGGCAGAATGGGAATGTCAACAATGGATCTGGAGGAGGCAGCAACCTGTTCATTCCTACATCGCTTTATGTTGGGGATCTGGATCCAAGTGTGACGGAAACTCATCTTTATGAGTACTTTGCCCAGATGGGTCCAGTGCTTACAGTTCGGGTTTGCAAGGATTTGTCAACCCGGAGGTCTCTCGATTATGGTTATGTCAACTTTGGAAATCCTGAAGATGGTCAGTTGTAGTTTGGTTATATATTGCTTGTTTTGTTTAACTTAGATTCTATGGTATTTACTCCCTTTATTTACCTTGTTTAATAATTGATTCTTATTTTGATCAGTATCTGGATGGTGTTGTAAATATAATCAATTCCCTTTTCATTTAGTTCGAATAAAGGGATGGTGTTTATACAAGCAGAATAGTTATGGTGTTAAGATGCCCTTAATATTAGGAACTTTGTATAGATTTAATACTCATTTTTCAATAAGATGTTTCAAGTTCACATTTATATGGTCAAGCTGATCAAGGCAGGAAATGAAGATGTAGGTTTCGAGTGTGTTCTCTAAAGGTTGTTCTTCTTATGCAATTTCAATGATGATTTACTTCTTTACTTGAAAAATCTTACTTCTATGAAAAAACAAATGGCAATTAGCAAACACGGTTTAGTCTTCATTTGGCTTGAATTCTTATGTACCAAGGCAAGCAGTCTGGAATTTTGTTTGAGTAGCCTTGTTTTATACCAAGTGTGCCATATTCATCAGCCAAGTGAACTATATACTTAATATTCATCAGCTTTCTATATTGCATGATATATTCTTTTGTTTATATACAGCTGCAAGGGCATTGGACCTTCTGAACTTCACTCTTCTGAACGGGAAGCCTATCAGGATCATGTATTCTAATCGTGATCCTAGTATTCGTAAAAGTGGTGCTGGGAATATTTTTATCAAGGTAATAAAATTTTGAAATTCATGTGGTTCTATATGCCGATTTATTTTTTAAGTCCGTGCTTCATAAATCTCATATGTTTATTTTATGTTTGTATGTCATGCTTGTTGAATCTGGCAGAATTTAGATAAGGGAATTGACCACAAAGCTTTGCATGATACGTTTTCATCATTTGGGAACATTCTCTCTTGCAAGGTAGCCACAGATGCCTCTGGCCAGTCAAAAGGTTATGGCTTTGTTCAATTTAACAATGAGGAATCTGCCCAAAAGGCAATAGAGAAGTTGAATGGTATGCTATTGAATGATACGCAAGTCTATGTGAGCCCCTTTGTTCGCAAACAGGAAAGAGACAGTTCTATTAGCAACGTGAAATTTAACAATGTCTATGTAAAGAATCTCTCAGAATCCACGAGTGACGAAGATTTGAAAACCATTTTTGGTGAATTTGGTCCAATCACTAGTGCCGCGGTGATGAGAGAATCAGATGGAAAATCCAAGGGCTTTGGGTTTGTCAACTTTGAGAATGCAGATGCTGCTGCTAGAGCTGTGGTGTCTCTAAATGGAAAGAAATTTGATGATAAGGAATGGTATGTTGGGAAAGCTCAAAAGAAATCTGAAAGGGAGGTTGATCTGAAACTTTGGTTTGAGCAGTCGGTGAAGGAGGCAGCAGATAAATTTCAAGGAGCAAACTTGTATATTAAGAATTTGGATGAAAGCATAAGCGATGTAAAACTTAAAGAGCTTTTCTCTCAATATGGTACCATAACATCATGCAAGGTTAGCATGTTTTAAGGAAAGTAATGTTCGATCAATTTGCTCAATTCTTGTATTTAGTTGGCTGAAGCCGTTTATTTCAAATGTAACAGGTTATGAGAGATCCTAATGGAGTTAGTAAAGGATCAGGGTTTGTTGCATTTTCAACTCCAGAAGAAGCATCCAAAGCGGTAAGTTGGTAATGCTGTCCCTACTTTATCTTATCTTAAGCTAATAGTTTCTCTTCCCCTGTTATTACAGCTGGTGGAGATGAATGGCAAAATGGTTGTCAGCAAACCTCTCTATGTTGCGCTAGCTCAAAAAAAGGAAGATAGGAGAGCTAGGTTACAGGTATGGCTTGATATTTGCTTTGAGGTGGACTGTAATGGGGCAAAATTATGGTTTTGATTCTTTATTTTACTAAAGCACGTGCTGCACCTTTTGCAGGCTCAGTTTTCTCAAATGCGATCGATTGCAACAACGCCTTCAGCTGCTCCACGTATGGTAATGTACCCACCTGGTGGTCCGGGTCTTGGGCAGCAAATATTCTATGGTCAAAGGCCTCCGACTATGTATGCTCAGGTAGTTATTTATTTTGCATTTTCTTGCTTGGTATTTTTAGTGTTATGATGTATACTTAGCCTCCTGAATTAATTGATGTAATATCATTTGTATATCTTCCTTAGAAATTTATGGTCTCGCTTATTGGTTTTTCTTTTGTCAGCCTGGATTTGGATATCAACAGCAGCTTTTCCCTGGTATGAGGCCTGGTGGGGCTCCCATGCCAAATTACTTTGTACCAATGATTCAGCAAGGCCGGCAGGGTCAGCATCCTGGTGGCAGAAGGTACGGGGCTGTTCAGCAAAGTCAGCAACCAGTTCCATTGATGCAGCAGCAGGTTGTTTAAACACTTCTTAGATTTTATAATATCTTCGATACATCTGTTCATATCTTGTAAATACTTCATCTGATCATTTAAATGTCAGATGTTACCCCGAGGACGGGTCTATCGCAATCCACAAGGGCATGGTCTACCTGATGTTGCTGGAGGCATGGTTTCTGTTCCAAATGATATGGGTGGCATGCCAATGCGTGATGTGCCCCTTTCTCAGCCAATTCCTGTAGGAGCCTTGGCCACAGCCCTCGCAAATGCATCTCCAGATCAGCAGAGAATGGTATGCACCGCTTTGCTATTTTTATTTGCTAGTTCTCTGTTCTATATACTTGTGCTGTTCAAGTTTTGGATTTTGCTTGTAGCCTAATTAATAGTTTCTTTTATTCAATTCTCAAAGCATTAATTACAAAAATTATGTTGAAGGGCATACCCTAATACATGTATCCCATATTTAGAACATGTAATTTCCTTCTAAAACTATATATATATTCTGCACTTCAACTATTCCGGTTAACTGAAATTTTTACATTGGGTGAAAATGTGTAGATGCTGGGAGAAAATCTCTATCCACTTGTTGAACAGCTGGAGTCAGATGCAGCAGCTAAAGTAACAGGGATGCTTCTGGAGATGGATCAGACTGAGGTTCTGCACTTGCTCGAGTCACCAGTAGCTCTTAAAGCCAAGGTTGCTGAAGCAATGGAGGTTCTTGGGACCGTTGCTCAGCAGCAGCAGACTGGTGCTGGCAATGCTGCTGATCAATTGGCTTCATTGTCTTTAAGTGACAACCTTGTCTCCTGATTTTGACAACCTGCTGGAGTTCTCCTTAAACACCATTGTTGTGAGGCCTCCGTTGAGTTTGAAACTAGTCGCTTCGTTCGTAGTTGGTTGGTTTTGATTCGATACTTCCTCAGTGTTTTGGAACTTGCATACCACAGCTCTATGCTTTGTAATTTGTGGCTATGTGACCGTGTATGAATTTCATGCATCATACTGCTGTCTTTGGGATTGGATTGATTTTTTTTTTTGGGTGAATAATCTTGGAGATACATTGAACAGTATTTAGATTGATATTTACTTGGGTTTGCATTGCTTTCGAAAGTGGTCTTCAGCTGATTCCTAGTGTAGTGAGCTTGATTTTATATACTGTATGCCATTTTTGCTGGTGATTGCATGTAGCCATGTGGGTCATGGATCAGTTTTGTACGAGGAACTGAAATTAGACCCTAAAATATGATTTATGTACGATCCATTGCGATGTTTACTATTTTCCTGAATTTATGTATGTAAACTCGTAATTTTAAATGAAAAGCTTCTGAAGTTCGTAATTTTATATATAAACAACGTGGAATTTTTATCTTGATAGTCTTAAACTATATATATATGAAGTGTTTCAATGTAACTTTTTATTCACATATATTATTGTGATTAAAGACCAGGTCTATATGCACGCATCTTTATCGTCGTTTAATCGTGTAATTATACATCTTTGACATATATTGTACGCATGGTCTCTTTTTGAATAAAATTTATATAGTTTTAAGGTTATTATTATTATTATTATTATTTTCATTTTGATCTTGTATGAGATTAACATGAGAAAATCCATTCAAATGGTCTATCACGTAGAGGAAGGCGCGTAATCTAAAACTAAGACGTGTCTTTCGGAAGACGCTCTCCCATAAGCATATGCTTTTACTAAAAAGGTCTCATTTTAATAAAATTATTTTCGATAAAAATAAAATTGTCTCTTACATTTTAGTCAAAAAGAGGTTAAGAAGGGTATTGTTCTGGTAAAACTGCCGATTTTAGTGGTTTATTGAATTGGATCATCAGCGTCGTCAAGTCCAAAAGTTGTTCAAGCGATACTAGTTCTGATAACATACATCTCAACAAATGAAATATATCGAGTATTGGGGGGGGGGGGGGCAAAAGCACCACATTTTATGTGAAATGACGATTCGTTACCTTCTAACCTAGTCTGAGTTTTTAATACAAATCCATAATCGCAAAGTTGATGTATTCTATGCACAAAGAATTAGGGGTCAATCCAGCATTGCATTGGCCACATTTAAAATACTACCTACAATGTCGTTGGACACCATCTTGTCAATAATGCATACAAGCTTTCGAAGCACATTCCAACAAATATTATCCTCCTCATTTCAATTGGCACGCCTTAAGTCTCAAACCCACATCTTTCTCGGTCACGCCGGATTATTGCAGTTCCCCGTGGATTATAAATCTGTGTTTCCGAGGAATCCCCTGCCTCCTTTGATTCTCTTCTGAGTTCTCCCCAAAATTATGAAGTCGACGACCGATAAGATATCGGTCATCCCTTACAGAATTGTGGAGTTGGTGAACCAGACATGGAATCTCTTCGCACAAAAGCACAGGCAGCTGAAGCAAAGGCATCCTAGCCATGCAAAGCGGTAGACGGCTGAACTGTAGCCGAGCACTGGAAACACGCCTCGGGCTAGTACGTAAGGTACACACAAGGCTGTCAGCAGCTTCATTATAATGGGCTACGGTCTCCCGCAACACCCAAAGGTCCTGCAGTCTAGAAAAACAATCTTCTCTCACCCTTTCGAATTTCACTCGCCAGCTTTCGTCTACCAATGGCATCATATGATCCAGCATAACCTATGCATATAAAAAAATATTTAGATCTCGTGGGAGAATATGTGTCCATTGTAAGCACGAAAAGGAGGCCAATAAGAACAGGAATGAAAAAAATCTGTACATCACAACACCGATAAAGATTCCTGAGTTGTATATTTGGGGCCCTGAAACAAGTAGAAAACTAATTACACCGGAATGCCACATGACATACCCATATTGATAAGAGCATGGAACTCTTGATGACTATCGAGCTCCACTTGGAAATTTGACCAAATATAACCGCTGCCCTCTTTGTTCTAATGTGCTCAATGGAGTATCTTGCCTCAGCTATGGCAGTCCAAATGACATAGCTTCCAATGACGAAAGAATAGAGGTCTATGATTCCAAAACAAAACCCACCTAGCACTGAAACTACAAACACACATTGGGGTGGGAGGATCAAATCAAACCACATTACCGTTGCACTTAATGCCACGAGTTATTGGGAGAAGAGGAATGGAGTTGAAAAGAGCTCGTCCAAGTGATATCGGTACTATTGTCAAGGAAGAGTTAAAGATTAGCAATGTCATCCAGGCAACCACCAGCAAGAGAACAATGCGATGAACAAAGCTGTACCTGCTAAAGGATACATCAATGAAATTAGACAGAATGAAATGGAGCCAGCTACAAGCAAAGCAAACCTTGTTTGGCTAAATGTAGTAAGAGAAGATGAAAAAGAACAAAACAGAAAATATGTCAAGTCTACAATAACTAACAAATTTAAGTGCTTACCAAAAACACCAAAACTTTTGTGATAACTCTCTATTCAATGAAGAAAATAACTGAGTTGATACCAATGCTAAGATTTGCACTTTAACAGGCACAGAACGTAGCCAATGTTCTGCAATTAAACAAAGCAAAATTCATTTGGAGGAATCAGATATAAAGAATAACTTGAATATTCATCCCAAAATATGATCACAGTTCGGGAAATAGTTTACAAAAATTCAGATTTTTCTAATGTGCCTAAACCAAATATATAGCTAAAACTCCCACGCTCAACCTATAAAGTATTAACCCTAGAATAACTGCCTTGTAAGTGCAAATTCAGTGACCAAATGATATCCAAAAAGTCAAATTACTGAGCAAAACTGCATGAAAATAAACCATAAGCAAAGCTGATTACTTTCAGATCTTGATGTAAATCAGACCCATTATGTAATATTGTCTATAAAAAGCACCACATAACTTACTCTGAATCAGTTCGTTCATCCCCATGAAACTCCTCCACGACATTAGAATTCCCTGATGCGAGGAGACCTCTATTTGGATCATCATCAGCAGCAAATGCAACCATGGCCTGTTCCTGTCCACCTAGTTGCACAACTTGTGGTCTATCCTGCTGACCGGGCTCCACATTGGCATTTTCCTGGCCACCATTCTCCCCAGGTCTGGGAAGTAAAAACTCTGTTAAGCCTAATGTCCGGCCAACGGCAGTAAACCAATAGTGGAAAAGAGACTTGATTGTTGTCTGCAATTTAAATTGCTCAATGGAAAATGGAATGCATATTTGAAAGAGAAGCATATCAGCTGGGATCTCAGTAAATGGGTCAGATACCCTGCAACAAAGAAATCATTTAAATGTAAACTAACAAGAAGCATACAAAAGTGAGTCGATGAGGAAAGTTATGTTCCATTCTTACTATCAAGTGGGAAAATAGATGGTGCTATCTTCATAGCAAGCTGGACTGGCAAGAATACCAGCATCACAATCAAACTTCCATAAACTGCAACTGATAACAAGACTCTCCGAGCATGCTTGTTTACAGGATCATCAATTAAATCACGGTAAGGATTGTAGTTTGGATCAGCTGGGTCCCGAAGGAAGTATAGAACACCATTGCGTAAAACCTGTCCATAACAAAAGTGATATTATCAGACTCATGCTACAATACATAACATCTTAAAGCAAACACTTATATTGTATAGGATAGGAACCAGGATTACCCCTCGAAGAAGGCTGACAAAGATGCTTATTTGTAGCATGTACACAATTCCAACAACCCAATGAACCAATGAACTAGCTATAGGTGAGACCGAGAAGAACTGAACCCTTTGAGACATTGATTTCCCAAACATCCTTATAGTGCATACATCTAGCCACCATCCACACATCAAAGGAAAAACCCCAAGCTCAATTACAAGGAGGAAAGCAACTTTAATCATTGTCATCAAATGCCTCATTGCCGCCAGGAACTGCCTGAAGAGGGATGGAATTGTCTCAACTATCGATGCAATTCCATACAACCTCCCCATCGTCAAAGGCTCACCCCTAGTGTACCTAATCAATGTAACAACACCCAGGTAGAAGAAGACTAAGGAGAATATAAACATATATCCAACAGCAAGAGTTGTAACATCAGACAGCCTTGATGCTTCAAAACTTGCTCCTTTCAAGACATCTGCTGAAAATGGTGGGCTTGTGTTGCTTGAAATTTCACCTACTGTACTAGAGTTCGCATTCAAAATTTCTGCAACTTGACTAAGCATGCTATTGCCTTGGCCTTCAGGTGTCAAATTTTTAACTGCAGTTAATGCATTCTTCAATGTGATGTTTGCTAAGGAAAGGGTAGTGTCTGTCACTGGCATGAATGCCTGACAACACTGGACCACTTGCAGAAGAGAAAAGCCAAGATACATAAAGGAGAATAAGGCGGCCAAGAGAATGATAAACCACAAACTGCAGTCTATTGTCTGTATTTTGGAAGTGGAAACATTTAAAGGAACAATAAAAAGAAGTCAAGTACAATACTCATTAACAAGGTAAATGTGTCACACTCTGCCCCATAAAATGCCACAAAAAAATATAAAAAATAAATATATCTTATAGCAATAAAAAATAAATATATCTTATAGCAATAAAAAATAAATATATCTTATAACAATAAGAATAATATAATGGGGGGAGGTCATGGAGTTTTGAACCATTGATCCATGTAGTGGCAGAAAATGGCTTAACCACCATGCCATGTTGTTATATTTTTATTGAAAATAATATAAGGTTGTTTTATTTTTAAATGTTGGGTGATTACCCATGTTTGGCAAATCTCTCTCTCCCATGTTTTAAACTCAGTTTCCCCTCATTTAAACTAGTTGACGCCCCTCCTCCTCGTCCTTGCTCCGGCCGGCGGTGCACGTCACCGCCACCTCCATTAGGTGCGCATGGCCTCTGCGAAGCGACCTCGACCAACCTCGCTCCGAAATCGATCACAGTTCGGACGAATCAAGTCGACGCCCAAAACCCCGATCGTCGTTTTAATTTTATCGATTTCGACCATTTCAACGACCGTCTTGCTTCACCACCCCCGATTTCAGACTCTTCGTCGCCTCCCGATCAAAACCCAGTAGGTGGGTTGCATTGACATTGATGTTTCGTCCGTCCGCCGTGGTTAAAGTCAGATCGTTTAATTTGGATAATATTTTCAGTGTTTTAGCTTGAA